CTGTGATACTATTCAAGGACCACTCGCTGGGATGTGGGTAGCCATCAGGGGCATCGATTCACATTCTTTTATGAGAGCCCCGCCCACCCTCTCACTTGATTACTGTAATTGTTGTTGTTTATTTAGCCCTTATTTGTTTCCTGTAATGTCACAAAATGTGAGAACAATTTAGAGCATCACATAGTTTATATCTGCTGGGCAATACTTGCCGGCCATGACTGTCATGCTGCTAGATAAATCACTGTCTTCAATGTGCAGCACGATTAAAAACAGAAAATGGAGTTTATCAATGTCAAACGGATGCTTATCCTTCGAGAAGCACATTTGGTGGGACAGGTTGTCTTTACCTCTACTCATCCCCTCCCTCATTTCTCACACAAATCGACGCCCCTGGTAGTCTTCAGTTCGACCGTAGCAACCTGAGTTCACCAGATCGATAATTTACAATAAATATGTGCGTTTTTACTTGATTGTAATGTTTCAAGAGAGTTGTAAGCACGGTTTTTGACAACTACATAACGTTGCAGAGACATCGGCCAATTAGTGTTGCTCCTCCCTGCATGACGGTCAGTGACGTCACGTATACGTCAGCGACACATTTTTTAGACAGATGTGGCGATTATATTACAAATCTGACGCACATAGCCGCAAAGTCGCATGGAGCTCTAAGAGCGGGTTGGATTCGTCATTTCCATACCAGGCGTGTTCTCCTTGAAAGTCCGGCGGCCGTGCCTTTCCGGGACCGGATGTGATACATTGGTGAAACCGGTGAGAATCCCGCCCATGTGGCTGTTGCAGTAGATCTTGACATTTCATTCTGTGCCTGAAAATCAAAATAAAGGTTGCGTTGAATGTGAGGTGTACCCATGATAACCCTCTGGATCTACTACCTCCTGGTTTTGGCTGAATCAAACTTTTTAGCAGTCAAGCACAGACTGAGTTTATGGTTGCCTGTATCACATACAGATAATTAACTGTGGTACTTCATGTATTGCAGACATGCCAAAAGAAATAGCATCCAGTGAAAGTGTGCTGCATCATCTTGACCAGCATGGCACATTCAACACTCAAGACTATGCCAACAATCTTGGGGAGGACCACCAAAAGATTGTTGGCATTGTCAAGAGTTTGGAGGGTCTGGGACAGGTGAGATTTCTGTACTGTTACCAGTATTTGTCACACAGCTGTTAGGCATGAATGGCTATATTTTTCATAGTTCTTGATGCTGCTTGATGCGCAGTAATGTTGTGACCGCTCGCAGTAATGGTGTTATGGCTGCTGTGTGTGTGCGGCGCTTGGGAGCTCACCATCGTAATTATAAAAAATTGAAGGTAAGAGCTTGAATCTACCTGTTTTGTGATTATGTACAATATGTCCTGCCTTAAACACGACAAATGGTGTACAATGATTTTTTCTAATGTTAGGTAGGAAAGAACACCCTGACCCTTCTATTTTACCTTCGTTTGTCTGCTTCGCCAGTGTGTGTGATAACTCACCATGATTTATTTTGAATATGGTAGTTGTATAACCCTTTAGATAAGGCAACTTAAATTGTGTTTATGGTAATTGTATGAAAAGCTGTCCTGCTCTCCTAGTTAACTCAGTACCCTTCTAGGTGCCTTTGAACATTAATTTTCCTTATACTGAGGCAACTTTGCAATGTTTTGGCCTAAGTCATGGTTATATGGCATGTCCATGAAATGCAATTGTCCGTGAGGTGGGATTGAGAATGCAGTGTCCCAGCTGCGCCAGCAGTTTTGTGTGATTGGCATGAGAGGACAGGTAAAGAAATTCATCTGGTCATGCCCAGAGTGGTTGTGCAGGAACAGACAGCTGGGAGGACTGCTAATGGCCCCAGCAGCTGAAGATTAGTTAGAGCCCCATGTAGCTACTGTTAAGAGTGTTGTGTGAACTGGACTTTTGTGAATGCTGCTGTTGGTGAACTGCCCATGTGGTTTGTTTGACAAAAAATGGTGAATGGATTAGATTGTCTTGTCCTGCACAGTTTCAGGGGGCATGTGGCCTGTTAGGGCATTTTGGAAAAGTTGTGTCAAACTTGAATCACTTGTTAGAGTGATAGGATAAGTGGAGTCTTGTAGCATGCTTTACCAAGCAAGCTTATGAATTATCATCCCTGCCAAACTATCATATTTTTTTCTTAATGCAGGGTTTGAGCCAGGGCAGGATTTCAGGTTTTGTTTCCATCGCAGGATATGAAAATGATGATGTGACTGGAGATTGCCTGCCAGTGAAACAAAAGTGTTGAAGACAGTGCTGCAGTGCACATCTGTCACACACCTGTCTGCTCATATGTTGTCAACAATGGTCTGTGTTGCAGAAATGTAGTGGCAGGAAAGGTTGGGAAATCCGGATCCTGGATGCTCGTATTGTACAGCCATTTATTGTTTGCCTTTTCTAGTATGCAAACATACTGTCCATTCTAATGGTTCAGTTGGTACCTGCACCTGCCTCCCAATCCAGGCACCTGTAGTGGGTTGGATTTTAATCACTTTAGGTGCTCCTTATTTGCCCTTGACAGATATGGTCTGTACCTGGTAGCAGCCACCATGCTAAAGATCAGTCGATGTCAGAGGGCAGGATTAACCATGCCGAGCATTGCGGCATTTTAAACTCACCACGAAAATCTGCTATTACCTAGGATTTATGCAATGGGATGGTAGAGGTCAGGGCTCGCATTGCAAGCGTTGCTCAGCGTGAGCTCTGCTCCCAGAAATCCATCCATTTGAAGGCACCAATTTAATCTTTTAAAAAAATTCCTGTGGACCCAGCAAAATGGACAGTACTCATTCGCAGACATTTTGCTTTGCTCCCTATATTTTCACCCTGCTCTCATATGTCATGGGTCCCCATTACTGACTTTGGGCCAGCATCACCGCGACAGCCGCGAGGCAGTCTTCTGCGGCCTGCCAGCGTGTGACCGGGGGACTGACGACCCACAGCTCACCGCCTCCCCCGGCCCATGACAGGTGGTGCAGGTGGAGCAGGTGACCCACAAACACTGGGAGCTGACGGACGAGGGCCGCGAGGTGGCGCGCGCCGGCAGCCACGAGGCCAAGGTGTTCGACGCCGTGCCGCCGGAAGGCATCGTCCAGGCCGAGCTGATGGTACGACGTGGACCAACCAGCCCTGACTGGCTGGCTGCTGGGTGGTGCTGGGAGAGGTTAACAGCCATAGAGAGATGAACTAACTGGGCATGCTCGTAGTATGGTAAGTTTGCAAGTCCATGCTAAGGAAGATTGACGAAGGGATTCACTAATTTTTAATTCACTGCACCACGTCTCTGTGCACTTTGCACGATTGTCCCTACGGAGCATCACGATCAGCATCAGCGCTGTGTTGACGTCCGGCGTGCTCGTGCGTGCGCCCGGCCGCTGGCATGCTGTGACGCTTGACCTGGCGTCCGGCGTGCGCGTGCGTGCGCCCGGCCGCTGGCATGCTGTGACGCTTGACCTGGCGTCCGGCAGGCGGCCGTGCCGAACGCCAAGATCGGCTTCAGCAAGGCTGTGTCGTGCGGCTGGCTGCGGGTGGAGAAGCCTGCTGGCGGCGGCGCGGCGCGCGTCTGCCGCCGCGTGCAGTCCGTCACGGACGTGGTGCGCCTGCACCTGGCCGCCCTGTGCGACTCGCCGACGGCCGACGTCTCCGACAAGCTCAAGCTCGAGTACAGGAAGCGCAAGCTGCTGCAGGAGGTGTAAGTCAGGCGCCACCGCCGGCTGCGGCTGAGACAGACTGCAGGGGCAGGAATGCCGAACACTGACGGCGGCCTGGCGCGCATCGCGTCTAGTGCCGCGCTGAAGTTGTTGGGCGGACGCGATGGTCGGACCCCCGGATAAGTTGCAAACTTGCCACCGTTTCGTACGCGTGCGTGGCGTGTATAGACGTGAGTCGAAGGCGGGTATATGTACGCGTATGGAAGTGCATGGAGACCGTTATGAGAGAACGTTAGTGATCGGCCCTCAGGCCACATCATTTTCACCACTTCTGACGTTTTTGAAATCACAGTTCAGGAGCAATAGCTCTGTTTAGCATGTAAAGTCGCTGCATCATGCATTACTGTTTGCTTGTAGTTCTATTAGCTGTTTCAGATTATGAGCTTTTATCAAATCCAAGGTGCTCTCGTGGATCTCACGCGCCAGTTAACTCTATGACTGAAGGTTTGTGTTAACTTTTCAGATTATATGGAAATTTGCTACGATTTTTATCTGCTCCCAATAGTTATAGGCAAGTTTCACTCCGCTCCGTCTGACCCCCCGTCCCCCTCCGGCAGCACGTCCAAGAGTTATACGGTGTCGAAGGGCGCCGAGTTTACGCTGTCGGTGGAGAAGCCAGAGGCCGACCTGACGCCCGAGATGATCGCCTCAGGCGCCTGGCGCACCAAGACCTTCAAGCCGTACAACTTCGCGGCTCTGGGCGTGCCGCCGGCGCGAGGTCACTTGCACCCTCTGCTGAAGGTGCGCGCCGAGTTCCGCCAGATATTCCTCGAGATGGGCTTCTCCGAGATGCCCACCAACCGCTACGTTGAGAGCTCGTTCTGGAACTTCGACGCGCTGTTCCAGCCTCAGCAGCACCCGGCACGAGACGCGCACGACACCTTCTTTGTGTCAGGTGAGGTCGTGAGAGGGCCACGCGGCGAGGGCCGGGCGCTGCTCCTCCCGCCCACCATCATCCCCCCCCCCCCCCCCCCGCCTTGCCCTGTCGTATCCGTCCTTTTCGGATCGAGATAATTTTATTATCCTCAGCACACTGTCTCAGAGCGGCCAGGTCACACAAACACACACACACACACACACACACACACGCACGCACGCACGCACGCACGCATGCACGCACGCACGCACGCACGCACGCACGTAAAAAACCATGCGTTCAGCAGAGTGGCCTTGACGTCACGTACAATATTTTCTATACATGTCTCAACGAGCAGTCAAAGCAAGCTAGCCGGTCAATCATCATGTCACCGTGCAGACATTGTGCCGTCCGTCTTAATCAAACGCACCAGCAGTAAAAGAGCCGGAAACACGCACAAATGCACCGAAAACTGCCTGCTCCATACCATTGCCACGTCCCGCTGCCGATATGGGTGTAAAGGAACTGGATACCATGCTGTTGATTCATCCGTCTTTGTAAGACGGGGTGTAGAGCATGCAGATGTGGAGTCTGCTGAGCCCGCTGCGGCAGTTTTGTTCTGCTGTGACCAGAGGCTAATGTGATCGGGGTCTTACGATGCACTCAGCTGCTGAGGCTATATGGCGTCGCCTGCCTCTCACCCTGGGCGGAATGGTGGGCACCACGAGCGTTTGAACCCCTTACCTCTGGTTTTCCAGACACGCAGCTTAACCGCTGCACTATCGCTACCCCGTGAGCGAGTGTTAAGTGGTTAATTTCCATCACTGACGCATAGTTGTACATGCTGTGTGCGGCGCAACACATTGTTTATTTGAAACCAGTGTTCTGGACATAGAGGACGCATGGTGCAGCCCAGTCATTCATTCTTCAATGAATATTTGTATGAAACTCTGGGACAAACGGATGACGTGCAGTTGCGTAGTTTTGCCTATGCCGTATGCGAACCTGTCGCGCGGAGTTGCCGTCACCGTGTGCCTTCCGCTCTCGCCAGACCCGGCCACCAGCCTGCGTCTGCCGGCCGAGTACCTGCCGCGCGTGCAGCAGGTGCACAGCGTGGGTGGCTTCGGCTCGCAGGGATACGGCTACGACTGGAAGCTGGAGGAGGCGCAGAAGAATCTGCTGCGCACGCACACCACCGCTGTCAGCGCGCGCATGCTTCACCGGCTGGCGCAGGAGAAGGTGCGCGGACTTGTCGCCGAGCGCTGATCGTGCTCAGAAGTCGTGTGCGTCAGAGCTGATCGTGCTGCGGCCGCGGCCCGGTCAGCTCTGACGCCGTCTGTAGCTTGGAGAGATGCGATCAGCGTTGGCGTAGTGATGCCGGTGCTGTGCAGGGAGCGAAAGAAACAACCGTTCGCGAGGGCTGACACCCGGCTGGCGGTATGATGATTTGTTTACGGGCGTGATCCTTGCGTCTCGTCCTAGCCAGGTTTGCGTGTCGTCTTTAGCCGGTGCCGCGCCTACCCTCCGCTGACCTTCCGCTGACCTTCCGCTGACGGGAGCGTAGGTCACCCCGCCGCCCGGTGTGTCTGGTCCCAGCTGACTGTCCGCCGCCCGGTGTGTCTGGTCCCAGCTGACCGTCCGCCGCCCGGTGTGTCGGGTCCCAGCTGACCGTCCGCCGCCTGGTGTGTCGGGTCCCAGCTGACCGTCTGCCGCCTGGTGTGTCGGGTCTTGGCTGACCACCGCCGCTCGCTGTGTCAGGAGTTCCGACCAGTCAAGTACTTCAGCATTGACCGGGTGTTCCGGAACGAGACCCTGGACGCCACGCACCTGGCGGAGTTCCACCAGGTGGAGGGTCTGGTGGCCGACCGCGGCCTCACACTCGGACACCTCATGGGTGAGTGGCGCGTTGGCCTTCAGGCCGGTCCGCCTCAGGTCATGGGCCGTGACAGCTCTGGCGCTGAAGTGTCGCCGGGCTGGATAACCACAGACTCGCAGGTGTTGTACTGGAGACTGCGCTGTTCCGATGAGGCTCTGTGAAATTGTGGCATGTTATCGACGAAAGACAAAACATTGCTCAAAACGGATCTTGTACTGGGGACTGTGCCATTTTGATGAGGCTCTGAAATTGTGGCATGTTACCGACGAAAGACAGAACCTTTCAAATTAAGCACGTAATCTGAGATGATTAGCGTAGGAAATACGCTTTATTGAAAAAGGTATTTGCCATTCAATTGTGTAGGCCCTTGTCTTACTGCATCACGGCATTACACCCCCTCCAGCCTCCGCCGCCAGCCTTGTTCGCTCTCACCAGCCCCGCCGCCAGTCTTGTTCACTCTCACCAGCCTCCGCCGCCAGCCTTGTTCACTCTCACCAGCCCCGCCTCCATCCTTGTCCACACCCACCAGCCGCCGTCGCCAGTCGCCAGTCGCGCGCACTTTCATCAGCCCCGCCGCCTCACCGCTAGGTATCATCAACGAATTCTTCAAGAAGCTGGGCATCGAGCAGGTGCGCTTCAAGCCGGCCTACAACCCATACACGGAGCCGTCGATGGAGATCTTCAGCTGGCATGCTGGGCTCGGCCGCTGGGTGGAGATCGGCAACTCGGGCGTGTTCCGGCCCGAGATGCTGTTGCCCATGGGCCTGCCCGAGGACGTCAATGTCATCGCCTGGGGCCTGTCGCTCGAGAGGTATTTGGTGGACAGGTGGCTGACGCCTTTCGCTGACAGCTCCCGCTCGAGAGCTGGCTGACGGGCGGGTTCCTGGGGGCCTCTGCTCGAGAGATGGAAGCTCTTTGGTCATCGGCCGTGGTGGGCGGCACGGTCTTTGTCATGCAGGTCAGATTGCTGGGCTGCCATGGAGTTTATGGTTGCTGAATGCCGATGCGCGGTGGTTAGATATGACCCGAGCACACCACCAGAGGGGTCCCGTAGGCGCTGTCACGTTGAAGATGGCAACAAACTAGCTCGCTACGTGCTGTTCTCATGACAAAGCGGACGTGCAAGCTCTTTATGCATTTCAGTAATTTTATGCATTGCGATATGCTTCTGGGGTAGATGTGACAACTCTCTCGCGCCTTTCCTGTTTTGAAGAGCGGTAGAAGGGGTGGGGGGGGGGGGGGGGTGGGATGGACTTCGTGCTGCGTGAATGGGAGGTCCTTTTTCGAAAAAGCGTAAACTTACCAATTAAATGTAGTCCTGGAGTTTGTTGTCTCCAGCTGTCGGAGGTATGTCAGCGCAAATTTGGGCACAACCAATACTTACAACAAATGTTCCAAGCATGTGACATAAACTGGTCCAATATATTTTACTTGAATCGAAATGCCTATATAGCTTAGTCTAATAGCTTCATCTAAGACATTTCGAAGCATATATATGTACATATATATATATATATATATATATATATATATACATATGTGTGTGTGTGTGTGTGTGTGTGTGTGTGTGTGTGTGTGTGTGTGTGTGTGTGTGTGTGTGTGTGTGTGTGCGTGTGCGTGTGCGTGTGCGTGTGTATGTTGATATATTCCAAGCTTTCCCACACGGAATCACAACTATTTCGCATTGCAAGCGTAGTTGCACAACATTCACCCGTAAAGTGCCGAGCTCAAAACTGGATGAACAGTGACCACTAGCATTGTATGTATGTTTGGACGACATGTAGTGAGGTCCGTCGGGCAGTGTGGCGGCACTGTCACAACATGGAGTGTTTTTGCGCTACCTGGATACCTTTGTGATTTGCAGCACAGGTGTTGTCCACTTCCTTTTGTCTATCTACGTACTAATTGGTGAACCCAAATAGCACCGGGTGGGCAGTTTTGTGTGATGAGACATGCGTGCGACGGGCTGCACTATTTTGTCCGCGCACGGCCCATGTGCACACTTCCCCATCGCTTGTGCAATCATCACGTGTATTATTTGACCACCACATGTTGCCACTGCCGCCACCACGGATATCACCGCGGCTGGCGCGTGACGTTGTACGCCAGGGAAGTTTGCGTACTGGTGCCTGTAATGTAAGCATCAGATGTGGCTGGAGGCTGGCGGGAGCCGACCGCAGCATATTGCCGGGGCACGGCACGTCACACCCGCCGTGTGTGTGTGGCTGGAGGCTGGCGGGGGCCGACCGCAGCATACTGCCGGGGCACGGCACGTCACACCCGCCGTGTGTGTGGCTCGAGGCTGGCGGGGGCCGACCGCAACATACTGCCGGGGCACGGCACGTCACACCCGCCGTGTGTGTGGCTCGAGGCTGGCGGGGGCCGACCGCAGCATACTGCCGGGGCACGGCACGTCCCACCCGCCGTGTGTGTGGCCCGAGGCTGGCGGGAGCCGACCGCAGCATACTGCCGGGGCACGGCACGTCACACCCGCCGTGTGTGTGGCTGGAGGCTGGCGGGAGCCGACCGCAGCATACTGCCGGGGCACGGCACGTCACACCCGCCGCGTATGGTCGTGTTTCAGGCCGACAATGATCAAATACAAGCTGGACAACATCCGGGACCTGTGCGGCCACCGCGTCAACCTGCAGATGGTGGCCAGCAACCCCATCTGTCGGCTGGACAAGTAATGGCCACCCCGTACCGTACGCTATTCCGCCTGCCGGTAGAAGTGATTAGAAGTAGCCATCCGCCAGCGAAAGCGGCTTGGGGCACTGTAGGACTACATGGGCGCCTACGCTACTTGGAAACACATTTCTAAAGCGTTTCATACAGACTAAGGCCTCTTGGACGTGAGACGGGCTAATGTAAAGCTTACGTGAAACACTGCATGATGGTCATCATCATGCCCTGCTGTTTTTGATAAGTGTATGAGCATAGGCTTGGGAGGTAAAGTTGGACCAAGACTCTCATGGCGGGGTTTACAAGCCTATGTTTTGAACGATATCGGAACTTGGGGTTGGAGGAAACTGGATGCCACGTGACTGTGCCGCTCCCACCTGGTTACCGACGCGACGCGACGCCGATGCGATATCGTCTGTGATGGTGGTGCCGTCTGACCTACGGCTGCTCGTGTCGCAGGCAGCCGGGCTCGACGCCGCCCGACCGGGGCCTGGCGCGGCTGGAGCGGCGCCAGCAGGCGGTGCTGGCTGACCTGGACGGCCTGGCGCTGCAGCTGGCCGAGTGTCGGCGGCGCCGTGGCCTGCCCCAGCTGGCGGCGCCGGGCTCCGCCGCAGCGCCGCCGCCGTCGCCGTCGGCCGGCCGGCTGCGGCTGGCCGTGTACGCTCCGCCCGAGCGGCCGCCGCTCGCATTGGCGCTGCTCTGCCGCCTGCTGTCGGCCCACGCCCCCGTCTGGTGCGGTGAACACGTACACTCTAGCTGCGAGCGGGCACAGACAGGGGCCCGCCTCCTGCCGCCGGCCGACGGCCTGTCGCCGGCGGCGGCACTGCTCCACGTGAGCCTGGTGTGGCGGCCCGGCTCGGACCTGGAGACGGCGGTCGGCGCGCCGGCGCCGCGGCTGCGCGGCGAGGCGGCGGCCGCCCGCCTCCTGGCGCGTCTCCTGCAGCCGTGGCGGCCGCGCCTCTACGCCGAGAGCTCGGCCGTTGACCGCTGGCTGGACGAGGCTGACCTGGTGGCCGCCGAGGGCGGGCGGCGGGCGCGCGCCGCGCTGGTGGCGGCCGTGACGGCGGCGCTGGCCGGCCGCCGCTGGCTGGTCGGCGACGCCCCCTCGCTGGCTGACATCGTGTTGTGGTCGCTGCTGACCCAGCTGGGCGCTGTCACGCCGCCGCTGGCCGCCTGGGCCAAGGCTGTCGCAGGCCTCACGTAACGTCCGCGCGTCGGCTAGGGGTTCCCTGGCGGCCGCGGCTCCGCCCTGACCATGCTAGGGGGTGTTCAGGGGTAGGCACTTGACCAACCGACGGACGGGGTATTTTTGGAATGGTTCGGATTTTTCAATAGCCGCATCTGCGCGTCTGTGCGTCTGCGCTGTGACAGATGTCTTATTATAACGGATCCATCGAGCGTTGGCCCGAGTGTACGTGCACTCTGCTTTGGAGCTGCATGGGCTGGCGTTAGGAAGGTGAACTTTTGGAAAAGTGATTGCACAAGAGGTGACAATAGACGTGCGAGGCTTTCTGGATGTGTTTGGCGCATGCGTATCTCTTGCTGAGAATGGTGACGTATATGCACGCTTGTTCATTGGGACTGAGACGACATGCGGCGTGAGCGGCTCAACGCGCTGTGCTTGCACGTATTCTGGCGGCTAACAATGAAAAGCAAACGAGGCAACGGGAGGACACCTGAAAGCGTGAAATCAGTGGCGATGCTTACGGTGACAAAACGACCCTCTGCGTGCCTCACATACTATCGCATCTTGTGGTCAGTTATGTGGTCAGAATTTGAGTGCCGTGGCATGTATTGTGGAACCCATTTCAAAAAGCTCAGGATTTCGTAAACAAAGAACCGTACGGGATCCTGGATTTATTCTTGGGATCCAGTGACGTTTGTGGTGTACCTTGCTGGCTAGATGCGTGGGTGAATGGGGGGGGGGGGGGGGTCTGAGGTTCCTAATTTGAGTGTGGAAACGACGCAGCAGCTTGTGTGACATAGGTGCAGTTATGCAGCCGTTTGGATTGGGGGAGGGGGGGGGGGGGGGGGCAGTTGCGCGATAACCCCGAAATTGTGGAGTTGGTTCAAGGGTGTGACGTCGTGCTCATTGTGGAGTCTCCAAGTCGACACGCGGGAAATGGCCAGTGATCACGAACGCACGGCTGGCCGCCGGCGCCCCGCAGACAGCCGAGATCAGCGCCGCCGCGAAACGACGCCAGCTGTCGGAAAATGCAAATCGCGTCTGCGTTCGCTCGGCGCACGCTGTTGTTGTTGATTGGAGTTTTAGGGCGCGTCGACTACTGCGGTCATTTTGCGCCCACGCTCGGCGCACGCCCCGAGCACTGATCTGGCATTACGGCGGCCGGTCGTGGCATCGGTGGTCACGAATCGCTCGAAGCAATTGAGGTCTGAGAATTGGTATGCCGTGGCACGTATGGTAGAACTGTCACGCCGCGGTAATCAGTGGTTGTGTACGGGCTGCTCGTATCTGATCTGGTCATCGCTCGATATCGGTGCAGTGTATTTTGAGACTATGATAGGTGACCGTGGATCGATGTATATACATACAGATGCCAAATCACGTCATCCGCTCAACAGAATCTCCGCAGCTGAACGCCAAACCCTCCATAAGAAGTTGTCCCCGGCAATGCGGCAAGTGGCCGTCTGATCACTGCCGCGACCTTGTTCTGATGACTGTCGCAGAACTAGTCCGCAGGCTATGAGTCGCGCAGCGCTGACGCCGGACCATCAGCCGTCGCGCAGCGCTGGCCCTTGGTCAGGAGATATCCCACGGTGCTCACCTTCCCCGGGACACTCCGGTCACGGGCAGTCCTGTGTTCACTGATCCTAAATCACGAGCCATCCTGCGGCACCGGCCCCAGGTAACGATTCGTCCTTCGGCGTTGACCCCGGGTTACGGAGCGTGCCTCACTATCTCTGGTCCGCAAGCCATGGTGTAGCGAGGCTTTTCTTGGGACGAAACTGACCTCACAAATAATGCGGGCAGTACATGCGGACAGGGTGACCTACGTCATACCCGTCCCCAGCGCGGTGGTGGCCCGCGTCTCCAACAGGCGGCACTTGTCGGAATTGCAGGGTTGGATGGCTGAGCGTACGTGCCGTTCCTCAGTCACCACAAGCGGGTGGAGGGCGTCCGTGGCGGGGTCCTCACCGTAGACGCCCTTGGGATGCACGGGCTGCAGGTTATGCGCGGCTGCGTCGACGGCCGGCCGGCCCGGCCCGTACGTGCTACACGCGCGGGTCGGCTGTGCTCTGGCGCACTGTGATCCACCCATTTATCTTTGGCAGTCAGGTCAGTGGGTTCACCGCGACCAGTGTGTGGAGGTGGCAACGCCCTATGATTCCAACTTGGTCACGATTTTGACCTTTAGGGCATTTATTGTACCAGCCTGTCGCCAAACTGACCTGTCGCCCTCCATTTAATTGACAAATGTGCATCCAATGTGCACGTGTGCGTATTTTAGTCTTCGTCCCAAGAAATTTACATCCTGATATCGCATGGTAATCGCACGATCCTGACACCGCATGGTCATGTTTTTGTTGGGCAAACCGACATCTAAAAAGTTTTAAGTGTGATCTTCCATACCACGCAATTATTTAAGAATATTTCCTCCAATTTGTATGTACCTTATTGTAACGTGGCAATTTGTCTGTCAGTGGGATACCACCAAGATTAGCAAGTTGCTTTGTAAAGCAGTATTTTAACACCATCTACAACCTGGCAATTTATGCGTACCCTGATTCCACCATTCACGATCATGATCGCGGCTTGATATCGCGGTTGTTCTAGAGCAAGGCGTTCCGCAGCGTTTATCGGGCGAGTGCATCAGTTTGCGTTGGGAGGAGAGGCTTCGTCAGTTACCTTTGTTCAGCTTGAAAAAGCTATTCGAAGTGAGGAAGGTGTGGTGGACATCTTGGATTTGGTCGAAGGCCAAGAAGCCGATAACAAAACGGAGCCTGAAATAATTTGACAATCTGTCACCTGTCAAGTGAACATTTGCAATGGCATTCACATTTGCAGCCTTTTCATACATATTAGCACTCATATTTGATGCGGTGCTGATCTTCTTCGCTATCTTCCACGTAAGTTGTTCATTTATCTGGTTTATGCGCACAACATTAAGTTAACACAGACTAACACTGGTGATCAAATGTATCTGTGGCGTGCTTGTACTGTTGCATATTGGGCCAAGGGAAAGCTCAGGAGAGGGAGCTGAGATGCTGGAAATTATTTTAAGGGGAATGTTTCCCCAAAAAGGCCTCCTAGGTAGTCTCAATGTGTCAAACTTGGCTCAAATGTGCGCCTTGTGCCAAATTTTCATAATTATTTTGCCTTGAAAAAGAGTTGGGGATATTTGCCCAAAATGACCATTACAATACCTGAAATTCCTGGAAACATTGGTTCTGTCCATTGCAATCGGTGGTGGTCATGCGTCAAATATAGAGCACTAGGATTTGTTAGGCACTCAAACTTTGAATGGTCTGCAGAAATTATCATCAACTGTATCACAGACATGTTCCATGCTCGGCATAGCTCATTGTGGCATCTATGTTTTGCCATCTGGGTTCAGTGCCATCAAATGGTCATGTGATGTTTTGACTGGTTGGAAAAATCCATGGTTAATCTTGGTGGGCTGGTGTAAAACATACATAATGAATGCTCCAGAGGCTACCAAAAACATGGGATGGTTTTGTGTTGTCTGAAGGGAGATTGTGCCAGAAAGTCTTAAGGAGCTGCTTCACCCCTTCCCCTCTCCCTCACACTGATCACTTATTATTTGCTTTGAACTATGACACTTGGAGAATCAATACATGACATTGGTATCTATGCTCACCATTGTTAACACTCTTGTTTGACACATATAGCATTTAATCAGTTATGAAAGAACTTAGAAGGTCTGCACAGAAGTAGGCTCAATGGGCATTTTCAGAGAAAAATGAGCTAATAAGGAATCTGACCTAATGACTTCAGCTCTGATCTTAGATACAAAAATTGCTAAGTAAATCTTGCTAAGCTTTTCATGATATATTAAATAACCTTTTATTTATCCTTTGATCTTAACACAACCCTGGGTGGCTGGTTAGATATCCTTTGCTTGGGTGGGGGTCAATTTGACACCCCTGAGATCTCAGAAACTAAGACAGCAAGAGATGCCAAACTCACAGGGTGTGCTGGCCTGGCCTGGTCTGTGTGTACTACTGGGGATAATGTTTCAGGTTCCTAAGCCATGACCTTTGGGCCAGATATGGTCAAACAAGCTCAAACTTAAGGTTGGTGTCCAAGTGCTCCAGAGGCTAGATGCCTGTTCTAAACTGAAGATCACGTGCTCATTTTAGGTCAGTGTTCTTGTTTGATCTCCCAAAGGTTATGGTGACCAAAATCATACAAGACTGCCTTGAGTTTTGCATTGAAATAAGCAACAAAGATTACACTAGGCAGTATATTCCTCCAACAGAATGTTGATGTGGGTCATTTTAAGCCAGTGACCTATTCTGACCTTTAAGAAGTTAATTGAAGGTGTATAATGTGGTTCCCGTGGCCAACAAATTTGAAATGAACACCGGGAACTACCCCATCCAGTAAGCCCTAGAGTAATAAAGCGAGTTGTTCTTGACTTTGGTATGCCCTTCATACCTAACCCTGGATCAATGGAATTTGTTCAGTTGATTGCAGTGTTGGCTGAGAAAGTACATCAGAGGTGTATGATTTTGCCTAACACTGTTATCACATCAGATTGAACAGTCTTCTAGAAATTGACTGCTGAATCCAAGGCCTGGCTGGGATCTGCCATAGGTCAACAATATTGCAAGGTACATTGAAATTTGTGATACCAAATGATCCACCAGTCACCTACAGGTAGGCAAAATTGGACATGGCTATGTGGTACTGCTCAAAAACCATCTTGGAAAAACCTTTGGAGGGCTCAAATTGACCCCACCCTACTGTGCATTAACAATAAGTAATAGGAGATGCAGGCAACACTCCTTCCCATCTCTGTCAAGGTAAAGATGTTGTGTAATGACTGCCATCATCATTGTGAAGGTAAAAGTGTTCAGGCCATGCTCTGAAGTGAATGTAGTATACAATATTGTTTTGTAAAATTGATATCACTTCAATGCCTGCTTAAAGTATGGGCTTGTGGGGTATTATCTGGCTTTTGTTGTTTGATGCAAGAGCAAGTGCTAACATTAGGATAAAGGGTTTTTAGAGTATCATGAGGTGGGGATCTTGTGTGTCAGTATGTACACAAAGCTTTGGCATCATGAATTTCTTGGCCTTCACCAGTTGTTGACCTTCACCAACCAGGCCCTGAGAATGACCAGTTGGTTTGTGCCTTTCAGCCATGTACCTGTCTTTGTTCATTTTTTTCAGATAATTGCCTTTGATGAGTTGAAGACTGACTACAAGAACCCCATAGACCAATGCAATAGTCTCAATCCAGTAAGTATGGTAGTGGACCATGTGGCTAATATTACTCCACCAGTGTTCGCAATGTGTGTTGATGCAGCATAGAATTGCATTACTCAAGTGCTCTTGAAATGTTTTTGTCAGACTTGAATGTCATTTTTTTGTGATGTGCAGATGTCATTTAGTACAATTTACAATACTTCATAAGCAAATGAGCATACAAAAATGGACATTACACTTAGCATGCATATGACAGTATCTGTCTTGTCATAGGGGCACATTCTTACAAGTATTCTTGGGTCAGCCATGTTCATGTGCATTTTGCTTCAGGCACACTTGTGCTCATACTAATGTGCACAGTTCAATCCACATGTGCTATGGGACAGATACTTGGAGGATGAACACACAATAATTGTGGTGCATGGAGGACTGTTTGTGCTGCAAATTGGTATACTGTATTTACTCTGCAATGTGCATCAGGCATTATTTTGGAAAGTATGCACTCTTGGTCCAGCAGTTAGGTCTTTGCTCACATTGTTTGGATTGTTACAGCTGGTGCTGCCAGAGTATCTCATACACATTGTCTTCAACTTCATATTTCTTCTGGCTGGAGAGTGGTTCACAGTTCTCCTGAATGTTCCACTGATTGCCTACAACATCAACAGGTCAGAATTTGCTGCAATTGTTGTTTGCTACCATGTCAGTGTCATACATCAATTGCCTTTACAATTTGGGATTTGGTTCTTACCACAAGGAGGGCCTTAGTACCAAGCATGCTGCGGTCCGATGCTAAGTTGGTTGTTCAGTGCACAAACAATTCGCGAGGAACAGGCCGATGTTTGTGCCAATTCACGCAACTACAATATGCGGCGCGAGCGCAATGTACCCGGCTGGGGTCGTGCCTGCCCATCCTCCAATGTTGAGTGTGCTGATGATGGGGCAGGGTCTGCCTCTCTGTAACTGTGACGTCGTGCTGTGGCCCTGCCACGGTCTCCGCCGTCGGCCTTTCTGCGTGTGACACCGCCTGGTGCGAGATCTGACCAGCGCCGTCCCGGCGGTCGCTCGTGCCAGGTACCGCACGCGACCCGTGATGAGTTCGGCCGGTCTGTACGACCCCACGAACATCATGAACGCCGACACGCTCAACAAGTGCCAGCGCGAGGGCTGGATCAAGCTGGCCTTCTACCTGATTTCCTTCTTCTACTACCTGTATGGGTGAGTGGGACGGATAAGTTGCCGTGGACCCGGCCAGAGCGACGGCGGCGGCGGGCCAGGGCAGGTGACGTGACATGACGTAAGTTCGGCCGAAGTGATGTGGGTTGAGTTGAGTCGTAGTGAGGTGATTTGAGTTGAGTTTGAGGGAGGGAGGTGAGGTAAGGTGAGGCTCTGCAGGTGGGGGTCACCCACGGAGCGCCCGGCCCCATGCCTGTCATGCCTCACTCACCCTCGGTGAAAGCAATCTGTGCACTAGTAAGGTCTCCACTCAACGCATCCAAGATATCACTTGGGTTTTGTCTGCACGGCACATTGAGGCGAGGCAGGATGACGCCGGGAACCACCGGTGGCGAACGCAGATTGATTCGGCATGGTAAAGCTGCGGGTAGAGGTGTTTCAACGCTGTCTTTGAATTCGGCCTAGCCTTAGGACAGCGAGTGTATCAGTTTCCACACCTACTTTGTCGAACCGTCCACCCGCAGGCGCACCTACTGACCTTCCTCGTGTGCTGACTTGCTGTTGCTGCTTCCCGCTGTCCGCCGTGCTCTCTCGGCAGCCGTTCAGACGCCAGCGTCCGTCGCGCGAGTGGCTGACAGCGGCCCGCTCCCGCCGGCAGGATGATCTACTCGCTGATCTCGGCCTGAGCACGGCCGGCCGGCCGCAGCGACAATCCCAGAGGGTCGGCGGCGCGGCGCGGCCCTCCTCCGTCCGGCGGCGCTGCGCGGCGCGGCACCGCCCGCCGCGTGTGCGCGCGCGCACTGACCGCCCTTGGCGAAGTATGCCCAGTGTGGGCAGTACTCAACGTGCATCTGATCAGCTAGGTGATATATTTTATTTGTGCTCGATTTGAGTGATTTGGACGCGCGGCGCTGCGATACATGAGATTTGGCGGGGCGTGCTGACCGTGGCGCACCGGCCAACACGCCGACGCTAGTCACGCGCTCACGCACAAGCCGGCGTGAGCGGCTCAATAAAGGGCGAGGACGTTCGCGAGGCCATCCAATGAGTGGTGTGTACGATGATCCCTCTGGGAGGCGTTTGTGAGGCGCCTGTCGGCTGGTCAGCACACTGGTGGCAAGTTATCCCTACACGCGACCGGACCGGACGGGACAGAGCGGTGCCATACGCAGGACTTGAACAAGGACCCAAACACACCGCACGGGGTATGCGGCGCACAGCACGCGGACGCGGCCGAGCCGCGAGTCAGGGAACGGCGGGCCTCGTCTCGGTGCGGACGGGACAGCGTCGGGTGCCTCGACCGGGACAGCTGGCCGGTGGTTTAGCCGGCTCTGCAGCGGTGACGCAGCCGCGGACCGCCGGGGCCAGCCGCTGGTGCAGGTGGTGGCGGGTGACGCGGCGTCTCTGCCTCCCCGGGCGGCCCTTGGCCGGTGCGGCGCCCCTTACTCGGAGTATCGGCCGGCCTGCACCTCGGCGTCGCGGGTGGGCTGCTCGTGTTGTGCCAGGTGGCGGCGCTCGACGGCGCTCTGGTCGACGGCCGGGCAGCCGGTGCCGCCCAGCTGGGCCAACATGACGTCCCGGGCGGCCGCCAGGTGGCGCTGCTGGTGGCGCCGCAGACGGGAGCGTGTCTCCTGCCGCTGCACCTCCGGCAGCACGAAACTGTGCACCAGCTCCGACACCAACTCCTCCGACTGCCACTGGTTCCGCGGACTGTCAGGGCACGGGGCGGGGTCAGAACACCAGCTAAGCCGCCTATCACTGACAGGTCCCGAACCCGGACATTGTACGGGGTCTGGGCGCCGACGTCCCAGACTGCCGCTGGTCCCTCGGACTAATACGTTATGGTGTACCGGGTCAAAACATCGGACCCTCAGATTACCACTAGTTCCGCCGATTCTCCCACCGCGGGGAGCAAAGTCACCGGCACCAGCCGCTCCAGATGCTCCCGTGCGGCAGTGGTCAGAAAGAATCAGCCCCTGAACTACCGCACGGACCACCATGGAACACTCGCACCCACGTCCAGGCCATGTGGATGCACTCACGGTCAGATAATCCAAAAACGTCGCCTCATTGACAGCTGCTGTCCACGGCCAGAAAAGCCGCAAGCTCGGGCGTAACAGCACAAAAATCGTAATACCTGAACGTCAACGACACACAACTCGGAATACGTCGACATATTCCCTTTCTCAAAGGATAATAAACTTTAAAAATTCTTCCCCACCTGCACTTCAGCCCGGTACCCGCACCACCCACGCAGGATGGTGCTCCATCGGACACCTCGGTTACCCCACCGCTCGGGCCGTGACCGTCACACCACCGCTGCGGCCTCAGCGTGTCACGCACTTCTCCTCCAGCTCGTAGACAATGTCGTTGAGGTGGGCGGCCAGCTGGCGGACGTGCTGGCGCGCCTGCTGGTCAGCGGCGCGCTCGGTCGACTCGAGGATCACGTCCTCCAGGTATGTGTCGACCGTCTGCTGGTGCACCTTGAGCGTCTGCAGAGCGCCCGGCGCACGGTCAGGGGCTCACGCGTAAGAGCATCGCACGTCCGCCTCCCAGTGTGGTGCGGCTCAGGAAGACACTGGGATTGGACGCAAGGAGGCTCTCCCGTCTTCGGCCAGCCCCTCCACGCTGCACTGGGCGCACCTGAAAGTTCTGTGGACACACACGGGGTTCGCGCATGTTCTATGATTAAATCAAGGAAGCAATGTCAATGTCCAAGCGACCGTCGCTTGTCAGCAAGTGTTGAACTGTTCAGCAGCGAAATGCGTGTGAACAGCCTGTACGCGGGAGCTACACTGTCCGGGAGCTCAACGAACTGACTGGTCGTCGGCCCGCCGCCTGGCCGGCTGCCAGTAGGTGCACCGTTACCCGCCCGGTGCGCGCGGCCAGGGGTGGCGTTACCCGTTTGAAGATTTCGTCCATCTCCCGGCGTCGTCGGAGCTCACGCTGCCGGAGCCCGGCCTCGGCCGCCTCGCGCCGCTGCCGCTCCCGCTCGGCCATCATCACGAACGCGTGGATCCTGCGCTCCTCCTGCGGACAGCCGGCGGGCCCGGTCAGACGCCGGCACGGGGCTGACCGGGGACCCCGCGCTCTCTCTGTGAGTACCGGAAACGCGCTGCAGATCTGCAAGTGTCCTGCCTGTGCTGTAAACTCCTCCCCTCGCCCCTCTCAAATGAGTCCGGGGGTTTGTGGATCGGTGCTCTCTTACTGGGATCGGGCGCTGACGACTGGAGATCATTGTTCTCCGTCTGAAGCAGGGGAGACAGCCAGTACTGCCGGCTGGGGGGGGGGGGGGGCATGCCATCATCAATCATGGGTATCCGCCTGGGCCGGGGAGCCGCCCCGCCACTTGATCAGCGGCGTCGGTATCCCGCCGCCTCTCTTCTCCAGTATTGCCACATGCGGCACATTACTGTGGCATGCGGGGCGTGCAGCGGCCGTCTCCGCCGGGTCCGGCGGACGCAGCTCTCTCTATCTCCCTCTGACCTGCAGTCGGATGAGCTCGTTGCTGAGCTGGTCCAGCAGGCGGGCGACGGCGGCGCCCTCGATCCTGCTCAGCGCCTCCTCTACGTACTCGTCCTGACGGACGACAGGGCACCCGTCACGTATTCTGGAGAGTCCGCAGAACCAGTGCTGTCCTGCTGGTGGTGCTTGGACGTCCAGATAGAAACTTTGAAAGGCAGATTTGCCACTGGCCGAACACTAGGCGAACACTTGCTACCTACTACACACATTAAGCAGATGCTCTCAGCCTAGCTCCTGGTAAAATTTTTGGTAAAAGTGCTAGAACACGAGAACCGCCAGTGCCCGCACGCGCCTCCCCCAGCCAGTGTCTTAAGAGTGACACCAGGATCATGCCTGTAGCATCAGCTGACGGGGGATGGCGACGCGTCGCAGCTCGGTCGTCCACTCGCCTGTTTGGTGGCAGCGTCTCTCATGCGCTGCATGCAGACGACACGGCGCTGGTCGCGCGCTTTCAGCTCCATGGTACTGGCCTGGAGCGCGTGCGTGCCGCGCAGCTCCTGGATCAGGTCGTAGCGCCGCTCGACGCCGCGCCGCATCTGCGGCATGCGCTCGGGTCACGTCACTGCGGCGGGCACAGCCGGGCCGGCCGGGGCGCCCGGGCCGGCCTGCAGAGCCGCTGGATATGGACCGGAACAGCACGGGGCAGGGAGAGGGTGACGAGACGTCACGGCAGGTCAGCGGGCGATCGGAATACCTTGAAAGGAATCCTGCCGCATGCTGTCCGTGTGTGGCGTTAATGAAGCGCCTCTGAAGCGGCGATACAGAGTGCGCCCGTGTGGAGGAGTCGCACATGGTTTACTGAGCGATGGGTCTTTCGCGCGCGGACAGCATCCGCTTGGTGACGGCGCCCGGCCTCCTGACACGCCACGGCGCAGTGCCGGCGGCGCGAGGCTCGCGCTGCGCACGCGGGTGTGCCCGGCTGGCAGCGTACCCGGATCTGGGCGGCGCGGCCGCGCAGCAGCCGCTGCAGGCAGATAGCCGCCTGCGTCTGGTCGCAGTCCTGCTGGTCGGGTGGCTCCACCGTGGGCGTGATCGGCCGCGGCGGCGGGTGCACGATCTTCTCCAGGAAGCGCGGCGAGCCCGTCTGGTCACCGGCCGCCTCGCGCTCCTGCTCCGCCTGACGAGACGGGTTCTCACGGTCAGGTCAGCGGCGCATATTACGACTGGCATCAGCCTCTGCTCGGCCCGACGGGACGGGTTCTCACGGTCAGGTCAGCGGCGCATATTACGACTGGTATCAGCCTCTGCTCGGCCCGACGGGACGGGATCTCACGATCAGGTCAGCGGCACATATTACGACTGGTATCAGCCTCTGCTCGGCCCGACGGGACGGGTTCTCACGGCCAGGTCAGCGGCGCATGTTACGACTGGTATCAGCCTCTGCTCGGCCCGACGGGACGGGATCTCACGATCAGGTCAGCGGCACATATTACGACTGGTATCAGCCTCTGCTCGGCCCGACGGGACGGGTTCTCACGGCCAGGTCAGCGGCGCATGTTACGACTGGTATCAGCCTCTGCTCGGCCCGACGGGACGGGATCTCACGATCAGGTCAGCGGCACATATTACGACTGGTATCAGCCTCTGCTCGGCCCGACGGGACGGGATCTCACGATCAGGTCAGCGGCACATATTACGATTGGTATCAGCCTCTGCTCGGCCCGACGGGACGGGTTCTCACGGCCAGGTCAGCGGCGCATATTACGACTGGTATCAGCCTCTGCTCGGCCCGACAGGACGGGATCTCACGATCAGGTCAGCGGCACATATTACGACTGGTATCAGCCTCTGCTCGGCCTGACGGGACGGGTTCTCACGGTCAGGTCAGCGGCACATATTACAACTGGTATCAGCTTCTGCTCGGCCCGACAGGACCGGCTGTCACGGTCAGGGGGGGGGGGGGGGGGCGGCTCATCGAACACGGCTGAGGTCACCTAGGTATGTCACGTACATCAGTATCGTCCGTTTTACTGCGGTGTTTTGGTCGTGCCGCTGCAGCTCATGACCATGCTGCTGCAGCTCGTGACCCCGATGCAGCCGCTGGTGGCTGCTCGGCGTACCTTGATCATGCTGTGCACGTCGAGCAGCTCCTTCTGCAGCAGGTACTTGCGGGAGTAGCGCCGCTGGATCAGATGACTCACGGGCATGTCCGGCATCCGAATGACGGGTGACGTCAGCGACTCGCCGTACACCTCCTCCAGCATCTCCACACCTGGCGGCCGGGTCAGGGCCGACACGGGTCAAACGCTCGCCACACACGCTCCTCCGAACATGGCCGACAGATGGCGGTGGGTGCAGTTCAGCGACTCACCTGACATACTCAACCTCACAGTGCGTGACAGGGATATGTGAGCAAAAGAGAATGGAGCAAGTCACATGCATCCGTCAGGATATCTATGCCTGGCGGGGAGATAGATGGACATGTTGGAAGTGCACACCGTTAGCATGTCCACGCCTAACGGGGAGATAGATAGACACCGTCAGCATGTCCACACCAACAGAGAGATGAATGGGCATGTTTGAAGTGAACCTGTCAGCATGTCCACACCTGACGGGGAGATAGATGGACATGTCGGGACTGGATACCGTCAATATGTTCACCCTTAGCGAGGAAATAGATGGACATGTCGGAACTGGACACCGTCAGTATGTTCACTCTTAGCAGGGAGATAGATGGACATGTCGGGGCTGGACGCCGTCAGCATGTATACAGCTAGTGAGGAGGTAGATGGACACGCTGGAGTTATACAGACACCTACTACGAAAGCACTCCCTTCCTAAACAGCAGCGGCGGGTGCCTGGGTGCAACAGCCGTCAGCCTGCTACGCCTCGCTAGCAGCCGCCAGCTCTGCCCGGCCCCAGGCGCGGCCGTTCTACCTCTGCGCGTCTCCAGATAGGGCAGCTGGAGCCGCTGCGGCTGGCCGCGCAGATGATCGATGTCGGCGCCCTGGCGCGTGAGGGGCGCGAACGCCCGCGAGCCGGGCGTGTCGTACTCGGCGATGATGTCACGCTGCTGGCCGGACGCCTGGACCAGCTTGTGGTCCTTCCAGCGGCGCAGCCGGCGCACGTCTGGCCGCAGGGAGGTGTCACGCGCCGCCGACGCACGTCTGGCCGCAGGCGGGTGTCACGCGCAGCCGGCGCAAGTCTGGCTGCAGGCGGGCGTCACGCGCAGCCGGCGCACGTCTGGCCGCAGGCGGGCGTCACGCGCAGCCGACGCACGTCTGGCCGCAGGCGGGTGTCACCCGCGACCGGCATGCGCGCGGCGCCGCGCAGCGACGGGACGCTCAAGATGTCACCGCCTCGGGACGGCTGAACTTTGTCTGTCATGCGCAACCGGCAACAGAGAGGCAGGCGGACGCACGCGAGACGCACAAAGACGCGAGACGTGTCCCGAACGGTTAGCCACAGCGTGCTGCCGTTTTACACCAGAGGACGGTCTGAAAAGACCTTGTGTGGAATCAGGTTGTCGGCATAGAACTCTCACCTCATCCCTGTCATCGGCTTGTGGCCGAAAACAGATGATTCGCGGACGTCACATTTTCAACCATTCTCCACACATGCCGATGGTTACTGCGATCAATTAACTGCTACTCCGCACGATCATCACGACCAAGATATGTGACACATGTGCGCGCGCCAGAAGCAGTTAACTACACCGGCACTGGTACTGACTGACCCCAAGCTACGGCGGTCAGCAGCTGTGATAGGATCGTGCCCAAACCCCCCATAACAGCACGCCGGAGCACCAGCCGGGTGCATCACACACCAGCCACCCTGCAGTCAGACAGCGGCCCCACCTCGCGCGTACTGCGACTGGATGCGCGCGATCTGGGTGTCCCGCTCGGCCACGCGGATCTTCCAGCGTTTGTCCAGTCGGCGGGCCACGCGCTGCTTCCGCTTGTCCTCCTGCTCCTTCAGCAGGTGCTGCATTAGTTCCAGCCGAAGTGCCTGCGGCCGCGACGGCGGGTCAGCGGCCACGCGGTCTACGAGAAGTTTACAGCAGTGCCCGTCTCGCTTTCGGCCAGAGCAGACGGCCTGACCGCTCCAGAGCACAAACCAAGCTCCAGCTCAGGAACACTTGTCACCTAGCGCCTGAGCGCAGCCTATACAACCCGTCGTCTGCCAGCTCAGAGCTCGTCCCGGCCGATGCACCGCCGCTGGCCGCAGCGTTCGGGTGGAGCCGGCACTACCCGCGATCACGGCCTCAGAGGGGGGAGGGCGGCGGCCCGTCGCCGCTTCACAGCCGCCGACGCTCCCCACGCGCCGCGCCCTGGTGTCCGTCGGCGGCCGCGACCGGACCCGCACCTGTATGTCACTGATCTCCTGCTCGCGGACGACCCACTCCTGTCGCTCGATGCTCTCGATGAGCCGGATGCGTCGCTCGCCGTGACAGCGGTCGCCGGCCGGCGGCAGCGTGTCGCCCCAGCAGCGCCGGTTGCGCAGCCGCTCGATCATCTCCACCTCGGCGGCGCCGGCCGGCAGCCCGTGCCCTGACGACGCGGCGCCCGTCAGCCCGCTCGGCCGGCGGCCGCCCGCCGACACACGCACGCACGCACGCACGCACGCACGCACGCACGCACGCACGCACGCACGCACTCACGCTCGCACGCACGCGCGCGCACACACACACACACACACACACACACACACACACACACACACACACACACACACACACACACACACACACACACACACACACACACACACACACACACACACACAGCGTTTGGGCTCGGAGCCATTTGGGAGGAGTTCCACCCTCAATGTTTGTGTTGTGCTCAGCCGCCCCCCCCCCCCTCCCGTGACACTCAGAAAGTTCCAAAATTCACGGAAATACACGAAAGCAGTAAAAAGTTGGTGTCCATCGAAAAAAGGTTCTTTGATTCACAATGATCCTTATCATCTTCCACTCTTCCTTGGAAATACTGCCGATCGCGGGGCCACTCAAGACAGTGGCCGCTGAGACACGGCGTGGACAGAACCCAGCGGCGGGAACTCTCATGGAAACCTGTACCTTTTCAGAAAACCCGGGAATATAATCACAAAATAGATGAAACCATACGAACACATTTAATGAAGTTAAGTGATGATACCACTTATGCGACTGATTGGCATAGAGAGAGGGGCGTCACTTACTCCAGAAGAAGGCAACAACTGACCTCAGGGCTGAGTATAGCTTCCCACCAAAGCCGGGGGAGAACGTCGCTACCAAATTCAGTAGACGATCAGCTCGCAGCTGCTGGGTGCGCAGTGAAGGGTGCCTGGCGGCCATATAAGACACTGCGGATGACAGCTAGAGGGCAAGCCCGCCGACCCTGTACGAGAGAGCAGTTGGGGAGTACACTGACTCCCAGGCGACGGCGGCAACTGAACCCAGGGGAGGGCGGCTACAGGACCCAGGGGAGGGCGGCTACTGAATACAGGACGGCGACTACCGACCCCAAGGAAGGATGGCACTGACCCCAGGAGAGAGCGGCCACCGTCAGCTCCTCGGCCCAGTCTCCGTCCACCACGCGGTAGGGCGGCGAGTAGGGGTCCGTCTGCGCCTCCGACTCGCGGTAGTCGGTCTGCGTGCCGCGGCTGCGCGTGAGCGGCGGTGGCGGCGTGACGGTGGCGGCGGCGGCGGCGGCCACGGCCGACGGCGGGTCGGCCGGGCCCGCCGAGCCGTCGCCGTCGTCGCCGCCGCCGCCCAGGTCCAGGTGCAGCCCCGCCGGCAGGATGGCGTGCTGGTAGGCTGGCAGCAGGCTGAGAATGCGCACCCACGCGGAGTCAACGCCCGGAGAATGCCGGCAGCTGGAACTACCCGGTCACGGCGCCCACAACAGCCGCAAGGCGAACAGGACTACAATGCGTGGCTTCAAAATGCACACTTGGTGAGATGCATTTAATCTTAAAAAACCTCGCTTTCCTTCAAACTAGTAGAACTCTGGAACTGTAGTGCGTATTATAGTTCCAATGCGAGTGCTGATCAGTCCTTACATGTTGAAGTACTTGAAGCGGTTTCTTCCAGTAATCTCGGGGTCATTGTTCAGCTGTTCCTGCTGCCTGCAGAAGAAATAAACTTTTTAAAACATCACGCAGTGTTGAGCTGAACTTTGCTTCCAACATCACCGCACCCACTTAAAAACTCACGGCGTTCGTGAGACACTTCGCCCTCCTTTGCCGACGGAGATTCCTGACAAAACAACGGCAGAATTCAGCGATCAGGACCTCAGCGGCCGCAAGAGGCCAGCGCTTTTCCAGTACCACAGTGCAGCAACACAGACACCGGCTGCCAGGTGCCTACCACGCCACAGTGCCGGCGGCCCGACCGCACCTGATTCTGTAGTCCGGCTTGGGCGGCGGGAACGTCTTGCGCACCAGCTGCCAGGAGAAGCCCGGGTAGTTGGGCAGCGTGCTGAACATGCACTCGAAGTTGGGCACGCATTGCTGGCGGCATCAGACGACGCCGTCACGCTCAAGGTCACGGCACCGTCCGGTCAGCAGTCCACCAACGGCCAGTCTTGTGGGGAGGTTAAAGGTCGAGGTCATGGTCGGTCGGGGTCACATGTAATGACAGGGTCACAGTGGTGGCCGCGGCCAGAGTCGGGGCGGGCTCTTGGCGTCGGCATTATGGTCAGTCAGGGTCGGCTTTAGAGTGGAGGTCACGATCACAGTCACGTATGCAATCGGGGTAGGAATATGGTCTGGGCCGCGGCTCCTCAAGGGTTGTGGACAGGCCAGCGTCCGGGTCACGGTGAGTGTTGGTCTCAGGACCAGACACGTCCAGTCCAGTGTCAGGGTACGTTTAGCCGTTTAGCCGTCAATGGACATCTAACCAACGATGCCACTGCCCGCTCGAGCTCGGTTCCTGCCCAGCACAGGTGAACAGAACGCCCACTAATCGAGCTTCGGATAAGCCAGCGCGCAGCTGTTTTGGCCGCTGAGACAAACGCCGGCGGCGATATGTTCGGGAGTCCGAAGTCCCAAACGCTATTCAGCATCTGCGCTCGGAGGGCCGGACATTTCGAGCATATTCCGTAACGGAATACGTCGCATGGCAAAAAAATGCAAACGCGCTTACATCCGAGGTGCAGGGGGCTTACCAATCTGGATACTTCCAGGGACGCATGGTACGCCTCTTTTCTGTACTCCTTCTGACTGGACAAAGTGAAAAGCGGATCTAAAACAGATAATGAGAATTAGCAAACACATATCGTCCGACTTAAGACAGCGGAGCAGGACAACCGTGAATACACCAGTGATGTCATGCCAGAAAACTAAACTTCGATATTCGGTCTGATCGCGCAAGCGGCTGTTCCCATGCAATACGTTTGGCAGAGCGCTGTTTCCCACGAATCTTCTAATTGCGGAGTGCGTCCGACGCCCACGTGCAAATGCCCCGGAGCGCACCAAACCTGACATAGCGATCGCATGGTCTGACATCAGCAAGGGACAATTTGAGAAAAAAAACAGTGCATGGGCAGAGTTTTGCTGCGCCTAACGCAGCAGGACGCACTCAGTTCTCGTTAGAAGTATCTATCGTTAGTGAGATCTCGTTCATCCGTGTTAAGACGTGTCAGTGGTTCTTGGTGGCTCAGCGACTGGGCTTACAGAATTCATATTACCAGTGCAACTCAATCAAACAGGTCGAAGATGTTCTGACAACGCGACAGTGCTTACCGTACATAAAATCCAGAGCTCTGGATTGCACAGGCTTCGTGGCCGTCACCGTCTTTGTGATGGAGGCCATCGTTACTGCTTGATGGCACTGAAACACGCGGCACCGCTTGCAGCTCGTTAAATCATGCTGGACTGTTCAATGGCCTCCGCTCCAAGGTCTCGTCGGTCATTGCAAACATTCGCGGCGCACGCCGGACGGGGAGCGTCCATCCACCATGTCGCTGTCCCTGTACAAGTACGTTGATTGTTGGCTACCTCCGTACACCTTATGTCAAGTTCTGCCTGAAGCTGATGAGGCCATTGCATGGGAGTTGGAGCCACCAGATAAATGCGAATAGAAGGTCCGAGCTGGGTTCACCTGGACGCCACCACCTAATCGATTGTCGGGGATCGAACTGTCGCCAGGCTGAACTATAACTGGGGAAAGCGCTAAAGCGTACGGATCGTCACTACCTCTAAGGAAAGGAAAAGCAAACACTCAGAGGTTGTGTCTTCACGATCCCTCCCCAGGAGATACACCGACCAAGGTCGATCCCCATGGATCCACCTTCAATGGTGGTGTATCAACGGGTTAAGTGGAGAAAGGGGCACACGTGACTTTCGCTTCCTTGATAGCGTACAACTCCAGGTCCGGCGTACCGTTAGGGGAGGCGGCAAACCTGCGCTGGCGATACGCAAGGAAATTGGGCTCAAATTTGATTTTTTCTGGAGATGGAGCGAAGCTGCCCCTCTGACATTTCCCGCACCCGCCGCTCCTGCGTCGCAAATGTGCCTGCCTCCGTGCCTTGCGTGCCCCGCGATTTGACGCCGTGCACTTGGTAACGTGCCAAATCGAATGACACTGACTTCCACTCACCTCCAGACCGTAGCAAAGCGTACAGCAGGTGCGACGTCAGGCTAGAAAATAGTGGTTCTTAGACTCCACTGCGAGTAAAATCCTTCCAAATTTGCTTGTTTCCCGTGATTCATATTTCAAGCTTTTATCATTTTAAGACATTTTATATTGACGCATGGCCCTTGTTACGCACACCACTGCCGCAAATGCCAGCCCGAAGCAGATTCCTAGTCAAACCACTGCGGCGAACCAAAACACTAAAATATCTACATATCTCATTTCCACGGCATTCCAGCCAGCAACAAGACAGTCATTACAGAAAATGAGCGAAGTGAATGTTCGGTAAATAGTGCATTGCCCCCCCTTCACGGGAGGCTACACGCAAGGACAAACCCACTGCATCGGCCCACCACCCACCAATCATCACCACGATCACAACGTTGTCACACAAACGCATCCTCATCGGAGGAAGTCGCCGAAAGCTTCCACTTATTGCCATGGCAACGTAAAATAATGTCTGCTTATTACCGCCCGGCGTTAGCTGATTTTCTGCTTACATTACCAAGTGTAGTAGCTGGTAGTGCGTCTCCTAGGAAGCTGATTGCCTATAGACGGTCGCAAGCCGACCAAACTCGTCATTCCGCACGTAAAATAGCTGATACTAGGCAAATAGAGACAATCTAAACCCCGGATGGCTGTATGTGACAACTGCGTCATTTACAGCAACAACTGAAGTTTGTATTTGATATGAATATACAGATAATGTAACAACCAGCGGCTTTTGGCTTGTACGTGTGTCGCAGCCGAATATTATTGTATTTGCCGTTGGCCTCAGTTTGCAGAGTATCAAGGCAGGACTGTTGTCCTTGCTAAAAATGAAACTGGCATGAAGTACATCATATAAGGCTACTCATAGATACGTGTGTTGCTTATTGCATCCAGATTCAGATGGCACGTATTCCTGTTGTGCTGGTCCTGGTGCAGTTATTGATCATGGCTCTTTTGCTGTTTGTGTTTTAAGATGTGCTGCTCAACAGATCGGTGAAAGTAAAGTGTTTTTGGTATGCTGTCTATGCATAAGCAAGGTAATTCATTTCAATGAATATGGCACATTTGAATGGAAGTTAAAAGACCAGGGCATGCATAATTGCATGGCAACATTTTCATTTCTACCATGAAACAATGCTGCATCCAAATTTATTGTTTCTCTTAATACTATTAAAGAAATAGCTCAAGTGTGCATTTTTGCTTGACTGTTATATGTTATGGAGGAAATATACCCTGCGATGGTAGAACTGTTGTGGCAAATTTTTAAGACATAGCACCACTTGTAAAGCATGACACATTTGTCACAGTTGACATTCCTTTGGTTGAAAATTTGAGAGCATAGATGATTGGAATCTGCTTTGATCTGTGATGATGTGTGACAAATGTCTCAAGTCATATGTGAAGTTTGCTTACATATATTTTATAAATGTGTATGTGTTGTGAGAATTTCAGTAAGATAACAAATTGTGTGGTATAGTTACTAAATACCAAAAGCCAGGATCCTGAGGCCTGTCTTATAAAAGAAGACATGTGCACATAACTCAGGGATGGTACACTTGGCTCCTAAGTAAAAAATTATGTTGAATCCCAGATGAAATGAGAAAATGTATATTTTGGAGATCAAGATATGAACAGGTGAATCCACTGGATCAATCCAGTTGAGACTCAGCTGGTCATCACAAAGCAAAATGACATGAGTAGGTGGCATGTGCTGTAATGCCAATCAGTCACCACATAAAGCACAGTGGTGCAAGGAAATGTTAGCAGTTGAGTTGGCAAATGCAGTTAGCATCACAGTACTTCTCATGCAATGTCATATGGCTAAAACTACATTTTACAGAAGATGTTCTTGCCTCTGTCTGACCTAATGGGCTCCCACAGATAAGACCAATTGTATGTATTTTTAGCCTTTAACCTTATTTTTAGAAGAGAACCCTCTTCAGAGTGAGTTGCAAATGGAATGGGAATAGGGAGACACATTTTTTATGTTGCCTGTTGCCTGTGGCTCTCAGCTTTCACTGAAATGAAATTGTGCCAGGTAATTAGATGTGCTTGATTTTTACATTCAGTGACCAGGGACATACCACTCAGTCAACATATTTCTCATCAATTCATTATGAAGCTGACCATGCTTGGCTGGTCCACTGGGTCGTGAGATATTTGCGGAAAAGCATGGGTTTTGGGTCCAAGACATCCTGGGCACTCCTGCTCGTGTCATCGTGAGACGTAAATCATGCAAATGTACAAAAAGCGCAAAACAAGAAACTGAATTTCTGTGTTGTGGAGAATTCTCATGCAACTGAAAGAAATGTATCTGATGGAACATCTCAGTCTCTGAGAACTCGTGTCTAGTGGCGGGTTTAACCCTGTCCGGGTTCACGGTGCACATCGCCAGGACATAGCCCGGTGAAAGCATTGATGAACTAGAAACGTGTTGATGGACACTAGGTGGCAGACTTGTGCAGAAACCTGGCATACCGTTCATGCAAACGCTCTTGCTTGCTTGCTCATGCTTATAGACAGTCCCTTGGCTCTGAGAGTTTATTTGAGCTTAATCTGAGTTGGTTGGATGTATGAGGCCATGCAGGATTTCGCTGCAGAAGGCATGACTCAGTTTTTGTTTACAAAAAAGCTTGATTTAGCGCCGCAAGCGCGTGAAATCTCCTGTACGGCGTATGACAACATCGCGTGCTTACACGTAGTTTTATTGACGTGTCTGTCATGTTGCTGATTTTTAACTGCACATTTATTTGATACAGTTTTATGCATGTATAAATTTAATAGGGAGAATTACTAGTCCCCAGCGCAGTTAACTCCTCCCGGCACCAACACTCCTGTGCATGGCATGATTCGGCAGAAAGGAGGCATCAGTGTATTGTGCACTGCGCCGCATTTTGAGGCTATCAGTCCGTTGTGTCTCACCAAGCATCAGACAGCTGACCAAATGGGTGCGGTGTAAGCTGGCAGGTAGTGCTTTGGCAGCTCAAGCAGCTGCAGCTGTCCTGTTGTGTAGTTTTTTCATGGCTGAGTAAGTACGATTTTTAATCACATACTGGTCCACAATGATTGAGTAACTAGATAATGTTGCGTGGATGACTTGTTTCAAATACACATCTGGACCATAAGCGTGCTAGAGGGTAGAAAGGTCGGGAGTTTGATTGATGCCACTGGTGACGCCATTTGTTGGCATCGTCATCGTGGGGCTTAGAATAGAGGTCAGGTATAGTTAGACCGGGATGTTGTGTGTAATAGCGTGAGGTCCGCTGTCAAATGTCAGCGCTGACGAATAACCAGCCCACTTTTTGGCGTGGGCGCTTGTTGGTTGTTTTAGTATCAGCACAGCCATTGGGCTAGGCTTTTTCAAAGTACCCTTTGTGTCCAACACGTTGAAGTGATCTGGGGGGGGGGGGGGGCTGCTCGTTGGCACATAAAAGGTGGCTGCTATATTGTATCCAGATGCGCCTACATGCTTCTCGTAACGAGAGATCCCCCGCATCTCCGAACCTGACCGGGCGATCGGGAACCCGACATCAGTTCTCTACGGGGACCGCCGTAGTTAGGCGCAGCTGCAGACCCTCACGTCTTGTTTGTCCTCCCTTACGGCCTCTTTATGTTACGTACACGGTCGTTGCTGTTTGTCTATGCCCGGGCTCCGCATTTATCAAGAGAGGAGTACGGACTAGGCGTAGCCCACTCTGTTGTTTGCAGCTTTGGAAATGAGTTGAAGTGCTTGCAAAGGGTCGTTGGAAAGAGCCTTATATCATAGTTCATCTCGTCAGTTATTATGTTCAGTGGTTATAAAAGTGTAAATAGGCAATATAAGTAGTAGTGGTTAAAGCGCGAAAGGAAGCCCGTGGCTTGGTTCCGGTGTTGGTGATAATACTGCGGCGTCCAAAGGCTTTCCAGGTGCTGTGGGCTGTGACGGCGATATGTTCTTCGACGCGTTTTTTTATCTTTTTTCTTTGCTTTCTCTAACGCATGAAAAACAGCGAAAAAGACGGAGCGCCCGGTGCTGGCTGAGGAGCGCCGCCTGTCCGGTGATCCCAGACAGTGGACGCACGTGCCCAGCGGCACCAGCCAGGCACAGCAGCAGTCGTGTGGGTACCGTTTATTCGCAATACACTACACTATCCCGACCAAGACTGGACTCTTGAGTCGCGTCCCCGGTGCAAACACGAATCAGTGCTCACGCTGAGGCGGTGACGGTGGCTGCACTCCCGCGCCGGCCGCCACCTGACTGGACACGGACGGGGGCCGCGCATACTGGCCGTAGTCCCAACAGGGCGGCAGCCTCCACTGTCGCTCCGTCGCGCCTGTGTCGTGGACGTGCCGCCGTACGGGGCGGCGCGCTATCTACGGACGACCTGGCGGCGGCGGCGGCGGCGGCAGCGGCGGGCCGAGCCGGCCTGGCCCGGTGCCGGCCGGCGTCGCTCTGAGGACGCCCGCGCGCCGGGCTTTGTGACTAGACATGACGTAGTTGGGTGTCGCCGGTCGGACGGCGCGCTCTCGCTCTCGACTAGTGGACTCGTGCGGCGGCCAGGCGCGCGTGAACGGGGTGCCGATGACGCTCTGTACAGGTCCCTATGGCCACGGATTCACGTTCTGATGGGGTTGCGACCCCGGCCTCTACGCTATGTACAACACAAGGCACGACCTCCCCCAGGGAGGAGCTGCGCTCGCCGCGGCGGCCGCAGCTCGGGCCGGCGCTCCTCAGGAGCTCCGGCGGCTCCTCGGGAGCCCCGAGGCGTCACTCTAGCTGCTCCAGGAAGCTGGGCGAGCGGAAGTACTCGGGCACGTTCTCGTCGAGGCGCGCGATGATTTTGTAGATGGCCTTCTTCCAGCTGGGCTCTGCGTCCCTGCCGGCCTGCAGCGCGCGGAAGAACTCACGCAGCGCCGCCTCCGCCAGCGGCGGGAAGTTGGGCGGGATCTGCCGACGCACATGGGCATCATTGTCAGCGTCCGTGCATACACGCCAGCTGGTCCGGAACCGAAGTCAAACGTGACGGGAAGCAGCGCCAGCGCCTTGAACACACTAGGATATGACTTGTTTAGTGCTGGCTTGTCACCGTAATCGGATTGCTCAGAGCATGTCGACTGTTGCGTCACACAACGAGATCCAATGACTGATTTCCTTTCTCTGTCATATAAACAAAGCCCCTTTAAGCCTGCATGGGTGGTGCCGTGACTAAACAGCTGACATCGTCGCTGCTCCAGTGACCAGCGTCGTTCAGGGGAGCGCGGCGGTGCGGCACGGTACAGCGCGCGCGGGCGCCGTCACAAGCCCTGAGCGCGGCCGAGCCGGACGGCCGGCGCCACACACCTCGATATGGTTGTTCCTGTTGTAGTGCAGGTTGATGACGCGCAGTAGCTCACAGTCGGGCGTGATGCTGAGGTCCTCGGCGCTCTTGACGCCCTCGCTCAGCGCCTGGCGCGCGTGTTTCTCCATCTGGATGTAGAAGAACTCCCTGTGGGCGGGCGGAGCGGCGGGTCAGTGTGCGGCTCGGGACAGCGGGCCAGGTCAGCGCGCGATGCGCTGCTGTCGGCGTGCGCCGTTGCCGTTCTCGGCCAGTGTAAGCGGTCACGTCAGCGCAAGAGGATTCAGTTCACATTTCGAGCTCACAGACGTCTCAATAACGACAGGAAACCACAGACCAGCGCATTATCTCTCTCGAATTCTGCGAGCGCCGGTTACCGCGCAGCATTGCACGGCGCGTTGCGCGCGTAGACGCCCTGGAGATTGCAATGCTCGACGGTGCGACCCAGAAAGTCTATTTTCCTCGCTCGATGAGGAGCTGGCCACGAAAGTGAAACGGTAATTTCATGCCGAGAATCGTCTAATCGGCGAGTGTGGGGCACGTGGACACTTTCGTTTTCGTAGCGACGAGCCGAGTGTGGAGTCACGGCCTGGTAGGTAAACCGCCGGTGAGCGCCGCGTGGCGCTGTGGCAACCACCACACGCGTGGTCCGGTGCACTGTAGTGCCTCATAGCTGTTTTTCAATCTATGTCATCGCCAGATCCGGGCCACCAAAACATAGCCGGAAGCATGGCACTTGATATCGTCCGAGGCGATCTTTGCGGTTTGTCGCTGTAGCTATTGGGCCACTTTGTTTCCTGAATGGCATTGGCTGCGCGGCTTTGGAAAATTTTCGGTCCCTAGCGTCTTTAAGGGATAAAACGCGAATTTAAGGTCGAACTGGGCGGATCTGAGCCACACGCAGGATGTGAGGGCTGACATCTCATGATCACCCGTTGGCAGCGACGCGATTTACCAGTGCCCCGGTCTCCAATTAAGTCGCGGTCGCCGTTCCCGCCGCCACGCGCTCTCCCGTCCGGCGCCATCTTGAGCGGGCGCTGGGCCGGCTGACAAAGCGACGCTAAGCCGGCTGTTTTGTCATGGAAATCCGGCTGGCTCATAAGCGGGCGGCGGCGGCACGCGCCGGCCGTCGGCCTCCCCGTCGGGACCGACGCGGCGCGGCCGATGATGAATGGATGGCGCGCGACGCGGCACGGGAAGGGGTGCGCGGCAGGGTCTCAGGACGCAGGCCTCCCCCGGGACGCGGCGGCCGAGGGGCGCCGGGACCCAGTTCCCCGGCGCCGATCGATTGACGGCGCGATACAATTCACGGTCAGACGGGCCCAACAAATTGTGACAGCGAGCAGACGGCGGCAGGGGAGTCGCGCCCGCCGCCGAAAATGATTGGGAATCAATGCCGGAGTGGCCGCGAGTGGCGGTTTTTCTGCGGTGGGAGCTGTAAAAGGTCTAATTATGGCACTCGGCCACTCGCCAGTTTTGCGCGGAAGGGTTGGCGAGTTATGGCCGGCTGCTGGCTAAGGTTCCGTGCTGCGGGACCATAGAGCCGACCCAGTGGTGTCGGCCGGAACACGAGCGTTGTCTAATTCCGTCCAACTTTGCCTTCTTTACTAAGTAATATTTCTTGTGGCAGTGGCACTGCCCTGTCCAGACGCGTGCCGCCGCCATATTTGAGTTTGCTAAGGCCGATTTATTGGCAATCTTCCGTCATCTCCATTAAGACCCCTGTGCTCCACTTCTAATAATGCTTTCAACCCCAACGGAGTTCGTGAGAAATCAAATGACCCCATGCGCCATTGGGACGTCGCGCTTTCTATAATGCCTGATACGGGGTTGAAAACCAATAGCTCTAACCAGAACCGGTACGGTTTTTAACGGTAGGAAAGGCCAAAGTTCAGTCAAACTCGCCTTGGGCTAACTTGCCCTTGCAGGAGTAGGAGCTTTGGAAGCGCTACCCACTGTCGCGTTCTTGGTAACGTGTCAGCTTTCTCCGGAATGTTGCAAACCAAAATATTTTCATTCGAACAGCGTGTTCGGTCGAGCTTGCCTCGCGTTAGAGGGAGTGGCTCACATTTGGGGCATATTTCAAAACATAGTCCAGTGAAACCTCAGGACGAGTTAGTCTAGAAACAGCACTGGGTAGTGCCACCGGAAACTTTGAGGCTTCCGTGGCCCGGACCGGCGTGGCTAGTCTTTTTTTTGGACGATCGTACACCTTTGGAATGGCTGACTCCAGTTTCACGCAACCCTCAGCAGCAACAAGAGAAATTTCAGAAAATCTGTGTTGTAACAAACCCAATGGGATTGGGATCCCAATTTTTGGGAAAGCGGTCCGATCGGGCGTCGTTGCAACGTTGTAATGCGACATAAATAAAACTCATTCGATTACCGAATGTGGGAAATGGTGATTGATGCGCTCCAGTATTCGCAAGGAACCAAGTGCGCGATCCAGAATTCCGGGTCGAAAGGCTAGTGGCATGGTCTGGGCCGGGTGAAAGAATTCGCGCGATGTTCAGCCCGATAACACGGCCGCCCGTGTCAGCCTGGCCGCGTGGGCCAGTCGCCAGCTGACCAGCTCTGACGACTCGCACGGCTCGCATGAGCGCGGTTTCTTCGTTTCGAGCTCACATGCCCGCCACGCGATGGGCGTGTGTCTGGCGCCGTGTCAACCGAGCCACGGAAGGGGGAGGGGTGGCAAGCACCGGTCCGTTGTTCACCAGTGAGGCGGGGTTTTCGGCACCGGGCCGGTTGTGGTGCGCCCCCGACCGCCGAATACCCGGCACTGAATCCGTTGTATCGCATAGCGTTCCAGTCGGACGAAGGACGGCGTTCCGAATGCCGCGCGCTCGCACCGCGCAGTCGGCGCGAGTTTTTTTCCGGTTGCAGCGCACCTCCGAAACCTTGAATGAATATCAAGCAGTGGTTTGGGATAAATTGCGCCACTGATTTAGCCGAAACCATGCTACTAGCGGACACCTTGCACGACGCGCACATGTAGACGCCCGGTGCTCTATGAGTATGACGCCAGGCCACAGACGCGCGGAGTGTCTCATCAGATCGGTTTGTGCGCGCGGAGTGTCTCATCAGATCGGTTTGTGCGCGCGGAGTGTCTCATCAGATCGGTTTGTGCGCGCGGAGGGTCTCATCAGATCGGTTTGTGCAGATGTCCCATCGGCTGGTGTCCGCGAGCCGCGGTGAGCCATGACCGACGGCTGTGTCTTCTACGCCGCATGCATTGGGTCGGCTGCGCCCTTTGCAATGCAATGAGCAGGCCATGCTGAGGTCAAGAGCCCCAGCGCTTACATCAGTTACGCCATGTACGCTGAATGTGATGCGCTAGATTATGTGACTGTCTTGTTGCGCTTGTAGGGCCATCGGCTTGCAGAGGTAAGATAATTAATCGGGAGCATCATTGACGACAGCACATTTTCAGCAATCGATCGTCATTTGAAGGATGGATCAGCACTCCCGAAATGCATTGCGACTGGTTACCAGACCTACAGATCTGACCGGAGGCGAAAGAAAATAGATAGTTAAGCCCACAAATGTTCCAGGACGACCCCAGCATTACATATGTGCGGTCTCGGTAGTTCCCATAACAGGGTGCGACATTTGACGACCACTCACCGGAAATTACTGAACCACTTCACAAGCTGCGCAGTGTTGTTCTTGTTGAACTTGATGTCGGGGAAGAACGACTTGAGTACCGACGAGCTGGGGTAGCGCGACCAGAAGAACATCAGCTTGGCCTTCCGTAGGTGCATTGGCGTCAGCGTCGACGAGAAGTCGGAGGTCAACGAGAGGCCGGAGCGCACTGGAAACAGAACCACCGCATGAGATCCCGTATGGAGCCGCGGGCCGGGCGCCAAACGTGGCCGGGGTCGTGACATTCTGTTGAGTCGCGTGAACCACTGAGCGGGCCACACGAAAGGCGAAATAGCGGACGATGTGCTAAGACGCTTTTGTCGAAATTAATACGCACACCAAATCATTCCCGTATGCGTCAGGGGTACTTGGCACTCATTACTTTGAGTGAACATGGTTGTTTCTAGTTGTAACAACCGTTGACGAAAGCAGAAAGTAATACTCATAAGAGACGTACGAATATCGGACTGGCGCTGTGTATATCAGCCCCCGGCCGGTGTGCCTCACTCACCGTCGATCTTGCCGAGGTAGCCGTGCTGCGCCTCGTAGCCGCCGTCGAGCGAGTTGCAGTCGGATCGGTCCGGGGTGTCGTGTCGGAAGACGCGCGCGTCGGGCGGCGAGCGGCGCCCGGCGGCCAGCAGCGCCGGGTGCAGCAGCGCCGCCGGCCGGCCGGGTGGGCTGGCCGAGCGGCGGCCGCGAGGGCTGCCCGGCCGGCCGCCGTAGTACGGACTGTAGCCGGCCAGGAACGGCGACTCGGGCAGGCCCGGGTTGCGCACGGCGACGGCGGTGGCCAGCGAGCCGGGCGGCGGCGAGTCCTGCTCGCCACCCGGCCGCTCGTCCATCAACTTCTGTCGCTTCCGCTTGGGCGTCACCACCAGACTCAGCGGGCTCTCCTGCTCCTGCTGTTGCGGCGAGCCGCAGAACGCCGGCAGCCCGTAGCCGCCGTAGGCCGGGCTGCCGAGGCCGGCGAACGCCTTGTGCGGCGGGTAGAGCGGCGGCAGGCCGGCCGGCGGCCGCAGCGTCCCCAGGCCGAACGGCAGGCCGTCGGCGCCGCCGAACGGCGCCGGAAAGCGGCCGTTGTGCTGGCTGATGCGGCGCAGGATCTCGGCGCGTGGCGACGGCTGCCCGGCCGGCGCCGCCTCCGCCTCGGCCGCCTTGGCCTGCGCGCGCCGCTGCTGCGCCCAGCGCGCCACGATCGAGTCCACCAGGCCGGTCAGCGACGAGGCCAGCTCGGCCTTGAGCGTGTCGGCCAGGCCCTGGACGTCGGTAAGCGGCCGGCCGGGCCCGGCCGGCCGCGTCGGCCGCTCGCCGCGCTCGTTCTCCTTGTTGCGCAGGTCGGCGCTCAGCACGCGCCGGGCGTAGTCGATGAAGCTGCCGGCCGGCGCGTCGTCGGGCCGCGGCCGCTCCGGCTCCGGCTCGGGCGGCGCGGCGCGGCGCCGATCCGATTCGGCCTGCTCCCTGTACAGCTGCGCGTAGCGCTCCTGCATCAGCGCCAGCTGACTGCGCACCGTCTTCAGCTGGCTGTGGATGACGTGCTCCTGCGGCTCCGGCTCCGGCTCCTGCTGCGTCTCGGGCTCGGGCTCCGGCTCCGGCTCCGGCTCTGGCTCGCTCTCGCTGCCGCTGGCGCGCACCGCCGCCTCGTGCTGCACCGGCTGGTAGAGCTTGCGCTTCTTGCAGCCGTTGACCGGCAACGGTGAGCCGGCCGGCGCCGGCTGGATGCCCGACACGATGCTCTCCAGCCGCGACTTCTTGTCGCCGGCCGGCGAGCCCGGCTGGCTGTGCATGTCTCGGTGGGCGGCCGCGGCGTGGTCTGCACCCTCCTCGTCCGGTGGCGGACTGGCGGAGAAGCGGCGCGCCGCGTCCCGGCCCGCGCCCGCCCCGCCCCGGCCCAGAATCTCTCGCAGCACGGCATTGTTCACCGGCGGCCCTCCGCCCAACCGTTCCACCTGGCTGATCCCCATACCTGTGCACGGCGCCAGTACGCTGGCACTCATCCGGCTGCGGGCAGCGGCGGCGGCGGCGGTAGGGAGGCACGTTCGCGGGGCGCTGCCACGGCGGTATGACGGCTCCCCGGCCGCCGCCACACTTTTCTCCCGGCAGCGGCGGTCTTTGGCGGCCGCTGACGTCATGTCCAAGTCGGCCGCCGATTGGCTGAAGTCGCCGCCCGCTCCTTCAGGCAGCCAGTTGGAGGTGGCCGGGGGCGGGGCGCCGCGCCGCCGGTGCACGGGGCCTCCACCTGGCGTCGTTCACCTGGGCGGCCCCGGAGCGGTAGCCGGCACGTGCCTGCGATCGATACCGTGCCCTGCCTCACACGGCGTCAGGCTCTTTGGCCGTGACTCTCAGCCGCTGACGACGGCTGGTGCGCGGCTGGAAACACCGCGGATCGCCTGAATGTGACACACAGCGCGCGCGTGCCGCCCGACTTCCCGAAAACAAGATCGGTGTCACGCCACAGGAAATGCGGACCAGGCATTTTAGCGCACAAACCGCAGCGTCGATCGTCACGAGTGTAGCAGCGCGCTTCACTGGGAAGCCGCGCACGTTTTTACTTGTCACACTCTCCTGGTGACCCGCCTGTTGCAAATCTCTTACAAGGGCGGTAAAAATAGTTCAACCTTGAGAGTTATTTAATACTAAAATAAAAGCTGACGTTGCCAAGATCATGGGCTTTTTATATGCCTGTAGGCTTGGAAATATCTGCTCAATGTTTTTTTTATGCATTTCTTATCTGTACTTAACCTACTGTTAAAATTCCCGCATCAGCTCTGTCTGCCTTGTCAGTGAGCTACCCCGCTCCAGCTCAGATCTGGAGGTCTGGCGGTGCCGGTGTCTCCGCCTCGGCTCCTGTAACGCGGCTCAGCCACACGCGCCCGCTAACGGTCCCCTTCAGCACGGCGTCCGCTGCTGCACCACCGTCGCACTTGAGCTGTCGACGGCCGCGGCTGGCCCGGTCGGCTCGGTGGCGGTGCGGGTCCTCTGGAGCTGTCGACGGCCGCGGCCGGCCCGGTCGGCTCGGTGGCGGTGCGGGTCCTCTGGAGCTGTCGACGGCCGCGGTCGGCCCGGTCGGCTCGGTGGCGGTGCGGGTCCTCTGGAGCTGTCGACGGCCGCGGTCGGCCCGGTCGGCTCGGTGGCGGTGCGGGTCTGCTGGAGCTGTCGACGGCCGCGGCCGGCCCGGTCGGTTCGGTGGCGGTGCGGGTCCTCTGGAGCTGTCGACGGCCGCGGCCGGCCCGGTCGGTTCGGTGGCGGTGCGGGTCCTCTGGAGCTGTCGACGGCCGCGGCCGGCCCGGTCAGCTCGGTGGCGGTGCGGGTCCTCTGGAGCTGTCGACGGCCGCGGCCGGCCCGGTCGGTTCGGTGGCGGTGCGGGTCCTCTGGAGCTGTCGACGGCCGCGGTCGGCCCGGTCGGTTCGGTGGCGGTGCGGGTCTGCTGGAGCTGTCGACGGCCGCGGCCGGCCCGGTCGGCTCGGTGGCGGTGCGGGTCCTCTGGAGCTGTCGACGGCCGCGGCCGACCCGGTCGGCTCGGTGGCGGTGCGGGTCTGCTGGAGCTGTCACCAGGCGAGCCGGCGGCCGGGCCTCCGCCGCCGTCTGACCGCAGGCTCTGGCGCCTGATCGGCTCACGCCGTGTCATGACAGGCGCTCCCACCGCTACATGTCACGTCCTCCGCAAACATGTCATGACACATTTGGCCGGCTGCAGCGGATCACACTCGCCTGCTGCGTGTCCATGTCAGTTTTCGGCAAGCAGCAACATGTCGCAGCTTTCTCCGCACGAGGGCCTCAGAGGCAAGGGTGTCATTTTATATACTTTCAGGGGGGGGGGAGGCTGAGCTGCCCAATGCTGACTTGAGCCTTTCCACCCCCACCCACCCCCCCTCCCAATGCCCCTCTGAGCCCCCTCAATGCATAAGAGCGAGGAGATAATACTTGGTCATATCAATGCATTGCAATTATCTTAACTATGCGTTTTATTGGTAGTAGGTACCCAGATACATCATCGCTAATATCAAGCTTGTTTTGTACCAAATAGTATCCCGTAGGTATCTAATGTTTTTGTCATATAATGCTTTTTTATCATTTGTGACGCCGGGATCGGAGATGAGGAACAACTGACTTCAATGTGCGGCAGCGTTAAAAGTGCGGGATGGCCCAGATGAAAGATAACTCAAGTTTTCTCCAACGAGACAAGTGCATTTGTGGCAAATCGTGACTGTCGCACACGATCAGCGACAGTGGTAGTCATCAGTGATCCGTTACAAGATTTACTGATGTTTTCCTGTGAATTGTACCCTTTTCTTAACATTTCACAAAAAGGCAGCTCACATAAACACGAAATAGGAAGTAATTCCCTCGCGGGAAAACAATCTTAAATCTACGAGACATAACACAAATTCAAAAAACCAACACCGAGGGCACAAATTAAAGTGGCCGAAATCCAGGGAGAGAGCAGGTTTCGGGAGTTAGGTTAGGTCAACGCTTTTGGCCGAGCCCGCAACGGAATTTAGAAAGCGACACCCCTGTTAGAGGTGCTCCTGGGACCTTCATGAAATAACTTTTGAGGCATTTCAGGCAGTTAACATAATGAGCAACCTACCTAACAACTATCTTTTGCACTGACGAGATTCGTATTTCCCGGCTCACACAAGTCACGAATGGTTAACTCACTATCGGGGTAATTTCGAGGGGCTCTTGTGCAGCTGCTGCGCCTCCTCGTGCTACACAGTAATCCTATCCAGCGCAAATAGGCCAGGTTATACGATTCAAGCTAGACCAAGTGTACTAAATAAAAGGATTCTAACAGCAATAGTTATTGGTATTTCGTGACCTGTCTGACGCATTTTCAGCCACGTTCACCAACATTCGGTGCAGCTTGGCACGTGGGTACCGTTCGGTTTATCGTCGGACCTCGCTCAGCTCTGGTAATAACTGGTGAAATCGTTGCGCACAAAGCTTGACCCATTTGATCTGATTCAATATGCTACAGGTAACATCGGCCGATAGCATGAGTCCATGTGCCAGGGTCAGCACAGCACCGCGTGCCCCACTGTCATGTCCCACCTACTTCTGGAAATACAGTGTAGGTCTAACTTCCTTGACCTTCTCCGTTGTCTTGGTTTGTCGCCATCATTTGCGCCTGAGCAAACGTTCAGTGACTTGTTTACGCTCTGTTCTGTTGCCGCTTTTCACTGAGCTCTGGCATGTTGGTCCTCGAGATAGCAGGCGGGGCCTGTGGGACCTCATCGACCGAGAAAGAGGGGAGAAACGCCCGTTCGGCGAGGGTTAGCTGTCACAGGTCTGGCATCAGCTGCATTACAGCGTGCAAGGGGTACGAGGATGAATATGGGATGAATATGGGAGGAATATGGGACGAATGTGGGACGAATGTTGGCATATGTGCTGGAGAGCACGGCTCTTACGGTGGTTGTACTGTCTCAGTGACGTTTGGTCGACTCCGTCCGTTCCCGTGTGGCTCTTTTCCATGGCGTCGGCCCTGTCCGTACCCGTGTGACTCCCTTCCACGGTGTCGACCCTGTACTTTCCCGTGTGGCGCCCTTCCATGGTGTCGGTCCTGTCCGTTCCCATGAAGATTCTTTTTCATTGTATCGGCTCTTTCCCAGTGTTGGCTCTGCCACGGCATCGTCCTTGTTTCTGTGGCGGCTCTACTCCAGTGTCGGTTATTTAAGTACCGGCTTTCTTTCAGTGTCGGCTCTGTTCCGATGTCATCTCTGCTCCAGTGTCATCTCTGTCTCGGTGTCAGTCCTGTTCTGATGTCGGCTCCTGCTTCGGTGATGGCTCCGTTCTTGTGTCGGGTTTGTTCCAACACCAAATTTATTTCAGTGTCGGCTCTGCTTCGGTGTCGATTCGGTTCCGGTGTTGCCCCTGCCCCGTTGCCTCGCCAGTGTCAGCTAAGTCCCAGCCCTCCTTCGGTATCGACTCCGTCCCAGGGCCGGCTGCGTTCCATCGCTAGCCCTGTTCCGGGGTGGAGCCCCATGGCAGCGTTGACTCCGTCCCATTGTCTGCACTGTTACAACATCGGGTATGTTCCGTTGCCAACCCTGTTCTGGCACTGCCCCTGTTCTGATGTCTGCCCCGTTCGAGTGCGATCGCTGCCCAAGCTCTGCTCCGGTGTCTACTCCCCTTCATTCTCGTCTCTGTGCGGTTGCCGGCCCCGTCCGGGTGCCGTTCCTGCCCTGTTGGGGTGTGGGCTGCGGCGGCCCGGCTGGGTGTCGGCCGGGCCGCCGCCGCGCCGCGCCGCGCCGCGCCCCGTTATTACCCGTGACGGCCGGCCCTTGCAGCAGCCGGCCGCCGGCGGCTATCAGTGCCGGCCATCCCCGGCACCGCCCAGCGGTCACTTCCGGTCCCCCGGCGCCGCCTCTGACGCGCCTGCCACCCGGACACCGCGCCGCGCGGCGGCTCGGGGGTGGCCCACGTGGCGGCGCGGCAGGACCCGACCGAGGCTGGGGCGCGGCGACCGCAGCCGAGTGCGGCCGGCCAAAGCTGCTAGTGAGAGCAGCCGGCCAACGCTGCTACCGAGAACAGCCGGCCAACGCTGCCAACGAGAACAGCCGGCCAACGCTCCCACCAAGAATAGGCGGCCAACGCTGTCACCGAGAACAACCGGCCAACGCTGCCACCGAGCGCAGCCGGACAACGCTGCCACCGAGAGCAGTTGGTCAACGCTGCCACCGAGAACAGCCGGCCAACATTGCCACTGACAGAGTAGCCGGCCAACGCTGTCACCGAGCGCAGCCGTCAATCTGTGTTGAAGTTAGCATTTGCCAGCAAGCATACTCAGCCCATAAGTTAGCTTAGGTTAGGTTAGGTTAGGTTAGGTTAGGTTAGGTTAGGTTAGGTTAGGCTAGGTTGGGTTAGGTTAGGTTAGGTTAGGTTAGGTTAGGTTAGGTTAAGTTCGGTTAGGTAAGATGACATGCAATGAACACGGGTTTTGCCAGTCAGTGCCGCGTCGAATGTGGACGACTCTGCCTCTCTTCCCACTGTGACATAGGCGGACTGCATCTCGCGAAGCGCTGATCGCAATCGCAGTCGTCGGCTCGCCACGTTTGCCGATACATCACCCTTACCTGTAACTGATGTGCCAGGATCTGCAGTCCATACGTGATCCCCTTCCAGCCTATTCGCGACCCAGTCCTTCGACTGCACGCACTCCGCACCCTCTGTCAGGCTGCCACGTCACTGGGCAGTCCACAAGCCGCCGATCAGCGGACGTTGCCCTTGTCGGCCGCCAGCCCCGGTCAAGCCCGCCCGGGACGGTCGTGCTACAGCACCCCGAAAGGTCGCCGTGTACCGCCTGGCACGACAGATCTGCTGGGCGGAACGCGCTTCGGCAGTCGGTGACCGTACAGCGGTGTCATGAAAGCTTAGACAGACTGGTAGGTATCCCTAGAAGTTTATCAATCGTTGCACTAAAGCTGTTTTTTATCCAAAGGATGAAAATGACGCATTTGCGTCTGGAGCAATTGGGTGTAAAATCAAACCTCCGTTCGTCGGTGCATGTTTGTCGGGTTGAAAAACACTCTTCTTAGGAAATTACCCTAAATGGAATGTTTCGTATTTGAAAATTCTGAAGCAAGCATGAGATATGATGAAGCAAGTTCACTCTAACTATTGGCATACTTTTTAAGTACAAATTTTGCTCTAGGCAGCATAATTCTCTGCTTAGTAAATATACTCCTCGATGTGTCATGGTCTGATTACCTCATCGTGCGTTGCACAGCATTGATTGAGAGCTAATTGAAGACCGTTTTATCTGGAAATTGCGCCCACAAACGCCAGATGTGAACGCCTCGACAATGATTTTTTTCTTGTTTTTGGTCACTA